ATCATCTAAATTATTGTCAAATAAAGACATTCCAACTTGGTAATTTAAATTAAACTTAATTTTACCAAATTTTAGATTTCCACTCCCTTCAGCTATTAGAGCATCAGAATAATTAATCATTCTATTATCAATTAGTCTTATTGTAATAGGAGAATCTATTCCTAGACTATAAGTTGATTTAAGAATCATTTGTATAGTAGAAACATGTAAGTAAGAGATTTTATTTCTAGTTTCTGTTTTTATATCTTTCAACATAGAAAGAATTTGTTCTTTACAGATAACAGGAATAACTACATTTCCTTCTGTTTGATCTGTATCTATTGCTTCTTCTCCAGAAATGATTCCAAAGAATATTTCATTTTTTCTAGAAATTAAATTATTTAATTTCTTTATCAATCCTTCATTTCTGAAATTATGATTCTTTTTTAAATCATGATCTGCTATTCCTAATTTATTTGCATCTATCAAGGATTCAATTAAATAGCCTGATTTTTCGTGCTTTGTGCAATAATCTAAAAGATTATTTTCTTTATCCATTTGTTTTTTTAATTTATAATTTTAGTATTTTCGCCTGTTGTTACCAGGCTCTGATACCATTTTTCTTTTCTCGTTTTGCTGCTGCTCCAGCTTTTAACTTCGGGTTTATAATCGATTTTGCGGAATTTCTTTTCTCGTTTTGCTGCTGCTCCAGCTTTTAACTTCGGGTTTATAATCGATTTTGCGGAATTTCTTAGATATTAAATCTTAATTTTTTCAATTTTTTCTTTATACTTTTCAGATAATTAACTTGACCTTCTATTTCTGAAAAACAATCTCCAAAGTAATTATCTCTTGTAGAATGTCTTTTATAATAATTTTTCTTGAGTGTAATTCCATATATAAGATTTTCTAGATCTTTTAAAAGATCTTCTCTAGCTTTTTCAAGTAAATCCATTTCATCTTTTCTTATATTACCATAAGCATCTAAACTTATGGGACTAGTATTTAATCTTTCACTAATAATGTCAAACTCTTCTTTCATCATTTAAAAAGTGTTCTTAAAATGAAAACATCATTTGAAACATTGAATTATGCGGAATACTCTTGAGAAAGATGAGATTCTGCCATGATAAATCCGTTTTTTACAAACCTTAAATTCTGGGGTTGTAATGGATTCTCGTTTTGAACGAGTCGAAGGCTATAGGCCATTCTTTCGATATCTGAAGCAATTAGATTTTTATCACAAGTTCGAATCAAAGTTCGATACTTAATTTTCAACTTTTGAATAGTTGATTCTAAAATATATTCCCACGAAATAGCAGGCATTATATATTTTCTATATACAGAGTTTTTCTAAGTTTGATATAATTTTAGCTAACTCTTTTTCTCTAGTTACTAGTGATGAATGAATATCATTGTAATAGTTATCTTTTGTTCTTTGTTATTTCTAATAGTTTGTCGTTGAATACCATTTTCTAGAATTTTTAGTTTCTCTAAAATTTCGAGTTTAAGAAACTTTAAAAGATTATTTTCTAATCTTCTTAGTTCTTTATATTTATCTAACCTTATGGGTAATTGTATGCAATTTTCAATATTATGAAAAACATTATTAAAAAGTTCTGAGTTCATACCTTTCTTCTGGGTTTTGAATTCTTTTAGTGTGCTTGAGATGATTGGTCCACCATAGCTTCCTGCTTTATCCTCAAATTCCAAACACTGTGCTCAGAGTCGTCTTACTGCCCTTCTTCCTAGGTCTTACTTCGACGAGCGATTGTGTCTCCAGGAATATCCAGAGAATTTTAGCCTAAGCTCTTAGTTTGATCTTTTTCTTGAAGCTTAATAGCTTCTAAGTATTTGAAACTTAATGTTTCTGTGATATAAAGCTCGTAGCTTAAGAATAACTTTTATTGAATATTAAATGTTTACAGAGAATAAAGTTTAGAAATCTGATGAGGGATTCATGCCTTACACACTCTAATGGCACCCCCTTATATAGCAACTAAAAATGCGTGAATTATTGGGGTTCGGCACAAGTTGCCGTCTCACCAAACGCATTATGAAAAGAAGACGTAAAAGCAGAAACTTCACATGAGTTGGTCTGCTACATTATTACATGGTGATAATGAAAAGAAGACAAAAAAGCAGAAACTCGTCATGAGTTTATCTGCTACATTATTATATCGTGGTAGGGTCTTCACATGGCAATGGCTGGCAGGTCTTCTGTGGCAACTGGCATGCTTGAATTTTCTCCTTTTTCCAAAGTGGTAGGGTCCTCCACATGTTTTTCCTTTTGCTTGCCAGACTCTCTCTTGTCGTTAGTGTCGGCAACCTTCTTCTTTTTCTTCTGGTGTTTTTCTTTTTCTTCATTGACTGTAAGAACAATGGACTGCACCATTTGCTTTGTTGCTTCAGTAGCATGAATCTTAAGGATGATATTATCCTGCCAATTCTGGACTATGGCCAAGTCTTGTTTGTCAATTTTCTTGTTGAAATTACTGACCAGAAGAATATTTGGGCTGCAATAATTTACTTTGATTTGGCTTGATGAATTTATTTTTTCTAATGTCTTTAAGATAAAATAAATTCTATCTGCTCTTTCTAATTTCAATTCTTCCTCTGTCAATAGAGGTTTTTCTTGTACAAGTGGTACTGGTGGTTTCACTTCTCCAGACACCCCAACATGAATATAGTGGTAGGCTGGGAATTGTTCTTCTTCGTTCCAATCTGGTATTGAACTCCAGATCTTGACAAAGATTGATTTGTTATTTTCACGAATTCTGCATTTTTCCATGTACAAAGCGATCGCCTGTTTGATTTTTGGAAAATATGACAATTCTCTTAAACTGTTCTCTGGGTAGAGGGTATCAATAAATCCTCCTAGGAACAAGTCTCTTGTAATTTCAGGAGTAACTCCTGGTAGCAGAATAGCTTTAATTTGTTGATTTCTGCTAATAGGAATATATCCTTGTTCACGTGTACTCGCGTTTACTTCTTCGTATAACGTGAGCCATTCTTTCTGAGTTATAGTAGTTTTGATTAACTTACTATCCAGTTGTTGTATTTTAAATTCATCAAATTTTATGAATGGATTTTTCAAATGGTGTTCTTTTGGAATACCAGTGTTACGAAATACTGGTACTCTTTCAATGATTTTGTTTTTGAGCTTTTCTAAGATCATCCTTGCTTCAAATTCAGTTTTTGCCGTATGATAATATTCAGGTGGAAAATCTTTTATTTTCTCGAAGCTATTATAGACTCCAATTTTTGGTCCGGTATGCACCGTGTACCAGTTAGGTGCCCTTTCTTCCTCGACAAAAGTTGACTGGGTCTTTTGTTCTTTCACCAAAGCGTCTTTGTATTCGGTTTTGGCTTTGCTTTTACTATCAGGCTCTGAGAGGCTTCCTTTCTCTGTCTGATTTTTTAACTGTACTATCTTTAACTTCTGCTTTAAAATTTCCAATTCATGCTCCTTTTGCATGATTTCTAATTTGAGTTCTTCAACTTGAAGATCCATTCTGGTCCTTTTTGCTTTTGATTTTGCAATTTTTTGCTGATCCTTTTCAAGTGTTTGTCTCTCTAATCAAATGCCTGCAAATTCCCTTGTTAGACAATCAGCAAGATAATTTTTATCACCTTTTATATGTTCTACATCAAATTGATAATGCTTTAGATGTAATTGCCACCTAATCAATCTGCCTTGTTTATAATCTCCTTTAAATTCATTTTTAATAAAATAACTGAAGTTTTTATTATCAGTTCTTACTAAAAACTTATTGGAGATAAGATATATTTTGAATTTTTGAATGCCTCGTAAAACTGCGAGCCATTCTTTTTCATTACTATGGTAATTCTTTTCAGCATCCTTAAAAGTTCCTGAAGTATATCTACACAATTTTTCTTCAGAAGAGTTTACTGGTTTTGCTTTTAAAACTGCGCTCCAGTAAGAGTCGGAGGCATCTGTTTCCAAAATCATTTTATCATTTTCTTGAGGGTGATATAACGTGGGTAGAATTTTTAGTTTTTTCTTTATCTTTTCTACATATGTTGTATCACTTGATGTCCAAGTAAAAACGACATCCTTTTTTAATTTTGCTTGTAAAGGCTTACGTATCGCTGCCAAATTAGCTATGTAGCCTTCTACATAATTTAAGATTCCAAGAAACCTTTGTAGTTGTTTTTTATTTCCTATTTCTGAAGGAAATTCAGATATTTTTGTCATGATGTGCGGTTGCATAGTTAGACTTCCATTTTCAATTTCTAGTCCTAAGAAATTAATCTTAGTTTGAGCAATTTTTGCCTTTTTCTCAGAAAGGATGATTCCTTCTTTAAGACATTGTTCTAGTACTTGTATAACATGCTTATAATGTTCTTGTTCGGTTTTGCTGAAGACAATTATATCATCAACATATACCGTGCAAATTTTACTAAATTCTTTGCTCGGGTCTTTTAAACATAGAGCATTATCAATTCTCCGTTGGAATAATCCAGGAGCTTGTTTTAGTCCGAAAGGAACAACATTCCATTCAAATTGTCCATTTGGACAACTGAATGCTGTTAACTTTCTGCTTTCTTCTTTTAGAGGGACTTGCCAAAATCCACTCTTACAATCGAATGTACTAAACCATTTCATATTTTTAATTAAATGAAATAGTTCTTCTTTCTTTGGTAAAAAATACCCATCCATTTCTGTATTATCATTTAATTTTTTATAATTAATAACCATACGTCTTTTTTGTCTTCGTTTTTCAGCTTCATTTTCTACTAGAAAAGCTGGACTACTATGTGGGGATTTACTAGGACGAATTAAATTCATTTTTAGTAATTCTTCAATCTGTATGTTAAACTCTTCTCTATCTCGAGGAGTATAACACATTGGTTTAACTCTTATAACCTTTAAAGGGTCGATTAATTTTATTTCAGCATGTAAGGCTGGGTTTTTTATACTTTTATTAAGCATTTTATCTAACGGATTTTCACTCGTTATTTTATTTAATGCTTTTTGACAATCTTCTAAAGATAACATATAAAGCATTTGATGTTTGGATATTAAGGTGTCTATTATTTTCTTACATTGCATGGTTCGAATAAAAATTCTTTCTGGATTTTTAGTTTCATTTGTTATTGCAATGTTTTTCTTTTTTATATCTGTAACCTCACCACGTTTTCGTAGTTTGGCGTTATTTGCCATGAATTCTTTAGATGCAAAGCTGTATGCTTTATTCACAATTGTTATATAAACTGGTACTTCATTCAAGTGTAACAGTATATAATTTAATTCCTGGACAAATGGTCTGTATAATTTTAAGAAGTTATTACCTATTAAAAGGTCTACTCCCGTATCTTGTTGGTATATAGTAGGAACTGTAAATTTTTCTCCTGCTATTAAAAATGTGACATTATAAGCCACCTTTGCTAAAGTAATTACTTGTTTATTTGCAACTCGTGCAGTTATTTTTTGTTTAGCATTTTCCCATTTTTCGATGGGTAATACTAAAGGATGTGCAGCACAAATACTTGCGCCTGTATCTATATATCCATGAAGGTGATATAGTTTATATCCAGCGAATTTAAAACCCACTTTGATATAGGTACTATTAGGGTTGGTTATATTTAACAATCGTTCCATTCTTCAGAACTATCATCAGTGCAACTTTCCCATTCAGAGTTTGGTTTGGAATAGAACTGTTTATATTCTATTTCAAATTTTAATTCATATTCTGAATTATTAGACTCATTCTCAGATTCAATTGGTTCGAAGTTGAATTTTTGCATTGCATAAAGCATTTTAACTTTATCCTTATTTTCTTTTCTTTTAGGACATTCATTTGCATAATGACCTTCTTCTTGGCATAACCAACATTTACAGTTAGTTTTTCCTTTTGGGCAATATTTTTCTTTTCTTTCGATCCTCTTTCTATATCTGGGTTTATTTATTTTATAATTTTCTTTTTTGTATTTCCTATACTTAGGAATATACCTTTTGTATTTTTTAAACTTCTGATATTTTGATTTTCGAGAATGCCTCTCTTTTCTAGTTCTACATCCCCATTTATTAGGTATCTCTAATAACTGAGGATCACAACATGGTTTGTTTTGATAGTATACAAGAGTTCCTCTTAATTGAGTATCTTTACATCTATCTTCTATGGTTTCTTTAAGAAGATTTACTCTTCCTGCAAATCCTTCTGTAATATGGTCAGGTTTATTAGACCACTTTTTGTTCATTTCAAAAGCCCACAATGGTGGTAGCTTATTGAAGTATTTTTCAGCATATGCTGGTCTATCTTCTTGTTTTAACAAGTAATACCATTTTTCATATTCACATGTAAAATTTTTCCAATAACAAATATCACATATTTGAATATTGTCAAGTATGAACTTTGCTTTTTTCTGTCTTTCTTCTAACACTATATTTGTGTTATCTAATTCTCTGACTCCTACAAATTCATTAACTAGTAGTTTAGCCAAAGCATTTAGATATTCTATGTTATCTTCTGGTTTATTCCAAAGAGCATCAAGGCTTGGAACATATGGGTTTGAATCCCACCAGTTTCTAACATTTCCCTTCATATGAAGTTCTAAATATGTTTTTAATGTTCTCAGATCTTCAAATGCTTCTCTATTAGTTTGTATTACTACTAACATATAATTATACCAACCTTTTATTGTTTCAACTGGTTTTGTCAAACAATCTAGATTAAGTATGTTATCATTGTGATTATTAGAATTATCTTTAGGAATAAACTCCTTTGGAATATAATTCTTTGATTTATTTTTCTTGTAAGGTTTTGCCTTACTTCTATTCATATTCATTATTCCTGGAATATTTATTTCTGGGAATGTTTTCTCTTCATCGGATACTCCAAAGTACCTATCTGCATTTGGATTATAGAACTCATCATTTATATATTCTTCAGGAGTCATGAACTCATGAGTGTCTTGATAATTACTTGGCCCTGGAGGAATATCTTTAAGATCTTCTTCGATTTTAACATTTATTCGATCTTTTGGTTCTAAATTTTCGCTTTCTGAACTAGAGTCGCTGTAATTCCCAATGAATTCTTTTAAAGATAATATATTCTGATATTTGTCTAATAGAGACTGAATATCAGTTTCACTTTGAATAAAATCAGTGTCACTATTCATTTTTCTCCAGGTAGTCTTTTTCTTCCGTTTTTAAATAGATTACTAAGATCCCATTCATTTGGTGGCCTATATGTTGGTATAGATTTCTTTTCTTTTATATTTATTAAAACTTTTTCTATTTCTAATAATTTAGGATCTGAGTTACTAGAATCAGACTGTTGTATATTTTGCTCTATTCTTAGAACAACTTCTTTTATTTCACTAACTATTGTTAGTATTTGTTGTACATTTCCTACTTCAGGATTTTTAGCCATTTAATCCTAATTCTTTTCCAATTTGATTTACAAGTAAAATTACTTTGCTTAAATTTTCCATTAATGGTTCAATTTGTGGAATTTTCTCGTCTAATTTTATTAAAGTTTCTTCTAACCTATTTACATTTATTCTGTTAATATTTTCTATAATTTTGTCAGCTTTTGCTGCAATATCAAGAATTTCTGATAGTAAAGTATCTAGAAATTCTATATTTCTACTCGTTTTTTCAAGTCTTTCAAGAATTAATTCTTGATTATTTCGGATTTTTTCTATATTCTCCCAAAGAGGAGTATTATTTATTCTACTCATTTATCAAATATTTGAATTTTAAGCATTTTAGTTTATTTCTTGATGATTTTTTAAGATTTTTTCTTTAAAAATAGGATTAAGGACATAAATGTCTTTTTTCCTTATTTCTATAGATTTTTGGATTAGTTTTTACAAAATTTTTTGGTCAAGGGTTATTCACCCAATTTGTTATGTGTATAGGGTCATATCAACCAATTCCCTCGCAGAAAGCCCTTTTCCCAAGGTCACAACTCCTAGTTTCAATTTAAGTGTAGAATACCATTTTGTAAGGGGGCAACTCACAAGTAACCCGTCGTCGGCCTCCGTACTCGGCGGAGCTTTCCCCTGGGAGATGCTGCCGGAGTTCCTCTACTCAGGCAGCTGCGACATTGCTGCCCCATTTGGAGATTCTGAACGCTCTAGGCATCTCGCATATCCTCAATGTAAAAATCTGTTCTTTTCTACTTTTGTGTATGATTATATGTTGTTATTTTGTTTCATTATTGGTTTTCACGAAGGTACCGGTTTATATGTGTGTGTATCTGTAGATGGGTGGTACTGATTATATCAGTTTTGTGCGTAGTTTACTGAATGAATTATTTGTTCCCGAGTTCCAATTTATCTTTCTAGTTGGTGTGGTAATGAGCTTTTCTCTTGAAGCTAGTGCTTAAAGATTTTAACTTTTTGGTGGGGATTGGTTGATTTAGAAGTGTTTCTTGTTCTTGCAAAGGTTTATACCATTGCTTTTATATGAGATATCTGTTGTGGCAATATCTGATGGAAAAAATGGGATCATTTGGTAAGATGGTAGCTTTTTTATTAAGATGTTTGAGTTTTTCTCTTGAAGCTAGTACTTAAAGATTATAACTTTTTGGTGGGAATCTGTTGATTGAGCAATGCTTCTGTTCTTGCAAGGTTTTGGGCTGCTGCTTCTATATGATAACTGTTTTTTCGCAATTTTTGAAGGAAAAATTTGGATTTGGTAAGACAGTGGCACTTTTATTGACATGTTTGAGCTTTTCTCTTGAAGCTTCTACTTAAAAATTTTACCTTTTTTTTTTTGTGGGGATTTGTTGCTTGTGCGATGTTTCTTGTTCTGGCAAGGGTTTGGACTGTTGTTTCTAAATGAGATTACTGTTTTAGCAATTTTAGATGGAAAAAATCGGATCATTTGTGTCATTTAATCTCGTGTAGCAGAGTAAACCTATGAAACGGACAACCCTTTTGTCGAGTACTCGAGTTGGACTCGATTCAGTACTATTAACATTGAAGTAACTACTATATTTCAGAATAATAATCGAGTTGGACTCAGATTCAGTACCATTTGATGGCACAATTTAGTTTGTAGGTGAGCCTCCAACTCTAATTCTACCATCTCTTGATTTTGGATATTGATTATTGATTTTCAAAAGTTGATTTAACTTATTCTGTCTAAATTGTTGTGTCCTGATGGGAAAAAATTGTGAAGGGGGCTGTTAAAATTTGTTTTGATTTCACACAATTTTTAATTGCGCGTCCACTGATATAGAAAAAAAAAATGATTTCTTTAGCACTATGTTGTTGTACCCTGGGGATATATTTTGTGTTCCCAGAATTTAAACGTTCTCATTTTCGTCAAATATTTGATCATCCTGCTTTTATAGATTGAATATCTACATTCTTGCTAAAGAGTTTAGGTCGAAGTTGGTATTTATTTTTCAAAATACTTCAAGAAAAAAGGTAAGCTACTAGAACAATAGTATCACGAACTTAGGACATTGAAGATTCAAATAATTAGCTTGCACCGATTCAAATAGATATTGATTTTCATATATGTAGAGATAGATAGACTCAATTCCTCAAATAACATTATCAAAACTTTGCTATGTTGATACCATTTGCATTTGGTCGATTAGTTTCACATGTGCAGAACAATTCTGCACTGTATGTGTCTGGCAGAAACAGACGAGTAAATTACAAGAAATGTCTAAACTTATCTTCTTACTCGTTTTTCTATAGATATCATGCATTAATGTTTGCTTATGTTGTTCGGCAGATCGCCTGCAATATGCAAACGTTGAAAACTTGACCTGAACAAATGGGCACAATCCATCTAATTTCTGAGTAAAACAGAACATGATTATTCATTTGTAACATAATATTGATCAATCGGGCCATCGTTCGACTTGAAAAAAAATGTTATAGAAGAACGAATATCGAACTATGGTCTCTCTCTATATTATCATTGATGATGCCATCATTATGTAATTTTTTTGCATACATTGTTACATATAATGAACATTTTTGTTGCATGAAGATTTCATTTTGCAGTCCATGAGAAGAAACCTCTAAAAGTTGTGTGGTGGCCGGAAGCCTCCTCCGGTGGCTGCGCTTGTGGCGGCCTAGCGGCTGTGGGCCCCTCATAGCAGCCTCTCGTGTAGTTGTTTGCTGGTTGGGGCCTCGAATATCGAGGAATAATATTTCTTAGCATTACGCCGTAGCTTATGAATTTGAAGCCATCTGCCGAAGCCCAAAGAAACGCGCACATTGCCACCAACAGGGCGGCGCGGACCGTCAAGGCCGCCATATTTACCGGGTTTCGCCTTTTTTTTTTTCTTTTGCTTTGTTTAG